TCCCTCTCTCGAACGACGCGGCGCACACGCACGCACGCACGCACGCACGCACGTATTAACGGCGGATACTGCGGGACCGACGGTCATCTGACGCGAAAGGACGACCGCAACGGCGAACGACTCTTTGGTGCTTGGTGTCGCGCGCCACTCGATGCGATTTCAAGGCAACGACAACGACGACGGCAGTGACGGGTGACGGGTGACGGGTGGCGGCGGCCGACGACCGACGACGATAACGACGCGAGCGACCGAACGGGAAGTAAAGACTGACCTTGGCGCGGTGCGGGTGTCCGGTGTGTTCCAGGATCGTCTCGTCGAAATCCGTACAACGTCCGACGGCGGCGAGGTACCAACGACGGAATACTGGCCGGGATCCGGGATATAACGCCACTCTCTCTCTGCCATGGTAAGCGAGCGCGACGGCGGAGCGGCGTTGATGCAGGTGCTATTTTTTTTTCCTTTTCGTCTTTGCGCTCTCTCTCCCGACTCGCTCGCTCGCTGTGACGTACGAGCTTATGGTCGCGATCGATACATTTCGCGCGGAGGCGCGGAATATGATGCTAGGAATACCGAAACACGATTTGCGAATATCGGGGAAACATCGTGGAGCGAGAGAGACCAAGACGACACAGGTGACAGGCGTATGAGAGAGCGTTTCTAACCTCAAAACTACTGTTTCAGGACGTCTCCGCGTTCTCCGAGGACATCTTTGACGTGAAAGAATGGATCAACCGGACCTTCAAGTCCGCCGAGGCGCAGGAGAACAAGGACGTAAGTCGCGGGCCATCATACTCCCTCGGTTCTCGTCCTCGCGACGCGCCTTTTCGGAATCGAGTCGCACCTGTCATTGCGATGCCCGTCGGCCGCCAAACTGGCGACTTTCACCGCGCGCGGCAGCGGTCAATGACTCTGTAGTGTGGCCGGGCTTTTACAAAACAATTCCATTTTACATTGGCTTTTAAACTAAAGGGGAATGGTTGGCGGCCAGAGAATATTTTTGGAGCTCGCGCGTTCTCATGCTGAACATTATACCGAAACATTACCGTCGGACAAGACAACATTCTGCTAATCTCGCGTCATATATTTTTTTTTTGGACATATTTTAAATAAATTATTATTCAAATATGATTTCTCTTTGCACACAATTGTTGTTTCTATCACTATAAAAATTTTAATGTCATATATATATGTGTGTGTAAATAATAGTAATTCATATTAATAAAATTAAATGAGAAAGAGAAACCATCACAATCAGTCACACAGTTGATGTAAATAGTAGTTGAAAATTCATCAATCTTATTTTATTATTGTTTAATTATTTATTAATTCTGTTATGTGTAAGAGATACAAGTCTGTTGAAGATTTTTGCTATGATTGATCTTATTTTGCAGGCTTTTGTTTCATCATTAGTGATGAAGTTGCAATTATATGTACAACAAGTTAATGGTGCCTTAGAGGAAACCAGTCAATCAGTTCTCTCTAGCTTACCAAGAATTTTGAGAGACACTCAACTCTTGCAGCAGGAAACATTAGCGCTACGAGAGAAAATGGTTGCTGTCAAACAAGAAATTGCCAAGGTACATTTAATTTATTTAAGACCAAATCATTTATATTTTTATGTATCATAACAAATATATGATAAAAAAATATTGAAAAATACAGGTTGAGAAAGATACAGCCTCTTCTATGGCAATGCTAGAGAAGATTGACAGGATAAAATCAGAACTGCAAACTGCTAAACAAGGATTACACGAGGCCGACAATTGGACAGTATTAGCAAATGATATGGAAGAGGTATATGAGAATTTTAATATATATGTATAAAATTTTAATTATATAATTTCCTTTTTGTTGAAATAGGTCTTTGAATCTGGTGATATAGAAGCTATATCTAATAAATTGTTCAGCATGCAAAAATCTTTAGCTATGCTCGCGAATGTTGTCGATTACGAAGATAAAAAGCTGCAGTTGGAAGGCTTGAAAAATCGTCTCGAGGCGATAGCCAGTCCACGATTAGTACAAGCCTTTACCGCTGCCAATTTAGGTAAAACTTTATAAATTCTAGATGTTAAACCATCTATTGCTTCGCAAGATATATACAACTGATCTATCATATTGTGTTTAGAGCAATCAAAAACTTACATGGACATTTTTAGCAAAATGGAACGTTTGCCTCAGCTTCTCAAATACTATCACAACTGTTTAAAGGTCTCTTTAGGGCAAGAATGGAGACGCACTATTGAGTTAGCACAAGACGAGAATGTTGCATATTGGCTGCATACATACTATGATAAGTTATTATCTTCTTGGCATGAACAGGTATATATACAAAATCTTTTTGTGATTGAAATATTATTATTGCTGCTTTGCAAATGTTTCTTAAATCTGTTTGTATTAAAGGTTAAATGGTGCCATCAAGTATTTCCCAATACTTCGATAGATATTCTCATCGAGGTTTATGCTGATCTTTTGAAGAGTCTCGATCCCGGTATTCCAGAATGTATAGAAGCGGTTCTGAAACAACATTCTAACGCGGTGCAATTGTCCATACTACTTGAATTGAAACAAATGACGAGGCATTTTGCTGTAAATCTGAATGGCGCTATTGAAACATCGTTTCATGGAAAATTGCAAAACGAAAAGTTACTGTCGCTAGCGCAGGCTATATATGCGCCTTACGTTCCTTACGTCGCAAAGTATAAGGTGTTTGAAACCGCGCAACTGGAACAACAGCTCCAATTCTTGGATCGTTCGCACGACGACTTAAGTGACATTATTAATTCCCTTTCTCTTAGCATTTCGAGGATTATGGGCTATGCCAGTGAAGCCAATAAGCGCTGCAAGCTCTTTACAGAAGGTTGTGGATATCCAGGTTTATTGCAATCATTAAACGTATGTGCATATTAAAGATTTTGGTGCATATAAACGCCATTATTGTAAATTGTCTTTTACGTTGACGAGATTTTGTTATCTCTCTTTCTCTTCTTGTAGGTTTATTTTATCAAATACCTCGAGAAATATCAGCAAGGCCTAAGACAACTCGAGCGGAAGAAGGTGAAACATGAAGACTGGAGCTTATTCCAAATGTGTCTTACTTTGATGCAAACTATAGGTGATTATCATTAATCAATATCTCGTGTGATATTATAAGACAGTTATTTAAATCTCGTTGCAGGCGATCTATTGCAACAAGTACAACAATTCGAAAAGTCGCTCGTGATCGACATCACAGAAGCTAACAACAAATTACAGAGTACAAACGATAGCGTTTTCTGTCAGTATAAAAAATTACTTTTAACTTCAGCCGGATGTGCCGATCTAGAAAATCTTGTTACATCTTTCCAAAGAGGTGTGCGAATGTCGCGTAGCGCAATAGTATTCATATATAGGATAAAACACACAAATACGAATAATCAAATTTTGTTTTGCAGAGGACAAGACAATTCTCGATTCGATTATAAAATCTATTCAGAAACTCTGCTCTGATTTACATCACACGACGTACGAAGTCATCTTTGCTCCAATATTCTCTCAACTGTTGTTAGTGCAAAAAGCACCGGCCTGGTCGTTGGATGCCAACAAAATATCCAATCTAAGTTCAGATCTGCCCGATTACAGTTTCGCACCTCAAGAATATATTACGCAGGTCGGACAATATTTAATGACGTTACCGCAGCACTTGGAACCGTTTTTGTTAAGAGACAATCCGAGTCTAACGCAAGCGTTGAAGGCAGCCGATCCGCAGTACGCTCAAGGATCGACCGAATCTGGTTTTACCGGTATACTTTTGGACATCGTCGCCCGGGGAACATGTCAAATGTTCCAAGATCAAACCTTGGGCATTTGTCAATTGAATTCTGTTGCTTGCAAACAACTCGCAACTGATATCGGTAATCTTTCATTGTACTTTTAATTTTACAATTTTGAAGGAGATTTAAAAAGAAGAATAAGTAACGACTAAATTATATATGTTGTTAGACTATCTCGGCAACGTATTGGAGGAGCTCGGTTTGTGCTTATCGGAGAATCTTCAACACATGTCCTTATTGCTAAGGTTAGCTCCGGAGGATTATCAGAATGGTAGCTCTGGATGCAATGCCCGTGTCGTGGCCGCAGTCAGACAAATGCGTAACATTACGTCTTCTGGCTGACATAGTTTGTATCTCCAACGAGATATAACGTCGCAATGTGAGAATCTGTTCTCACATTGCGTAATGTATTTCCAGCAAAGTGATTTCGTATACGGCTTTGATGCAATTATTTGCAGTTATATTATGATGTAAAAAGTAAGATCACATGTATAGTATTTTAATATACACGAATATAATTATGTTTCGTTTCTTCACTTGATATACCTTTACATTTAACATAAGATCGAAAAAAAGCGCGTATCGATTTGTTTTATGGACAGAAAGAGAGAACTCGTCGTTTCTGAAAACTTATTAGGTCAAAATAAATTTTTAAATAACGCGTATAAATAAGATGCATTTTTAATTAGGACAAGTGCGGGTACTCACCAAATATCGTACTTTAATGTCATTTATTTTCTACGCTATGTGTCTGAATTGAAATAACCGTCAATCGATCTCTCACTCAGCATTTTCGATAATTTTCCAAGAATCCTAGACGCGCAGAGAGTCACTTTGTTTTAGACATATCCTCAATTCTGCTTTTTCTTATACTGTCGAGATATATATACATAACTATTATAAAACAAATTACAAAGATCGCAGCACCATAATAGAGCTCAGGGCACACAATTTATGCGCCGGAGACATAAATACTTAGAAAGAACAAGAGATATATGTATATATCTATAAGATCTAGGAAACTGACCTTTTTTTTTTTTAATATCGGTAAAGATTCATAATTGAGCATTTTCTCTTATTCTTTCATACTCGCTTTCTTATCACATATGCTCGCATATATAAAGTTCGAGACGAATATGTATTAATGTTTCTCAATGAGTCGTGTTAAAGATGCAGACAAAATGCAGCAAATGCATATAATGTATTTCAATTTCGAGCAAATATGCATAAAAATATCTATTCTGTGTATAGATTTGCATTATATAATGATATATTATTTTACATTTTTTCATAGATTGCATTTACATGATTTATTTATACTCCACGAAACGAGTTAAGAGCATTTGCTACATTTTTCTTTTTCGATTAATTGTTTGCGAATCTCGCGTACAACACATATATATATATATAT